ACTGCGATAATTAACTGAAGAGAAAAAAAAGTAGATACTTGCGCTCGCCGTTCGACATCATTTGAAAACTTCCTAGGAAAAACAAAATACGTAAGATAACTTCTTTTCCCATAACACCACGACTGTATTAAACTTTCAAACGAAAGGATAAGAAATAACTTGAAGAATACGAAAACTATGCAATATTATTCGAGCGATGAACCGGCGTAAGAGTTTTTAGGCGATTAATGCCAGAGTCAATGTTTAACCGAAACGTGATCAGTTGAATTCAAAACTGAAGCTAGTATCAAACGACGATTGGAAAAGAAAAAGTTTGAATTTTTTTCCGGGTCTTAGCGTAAGAGAAAACCCAAATAGGACACGACTTACCTTCTCTTCTTTCGCGGATCCTTTGCAGTTCGCTTCTCTTTGTTGATGACCTCTTTTCAGTCTGTTTTCAGAAGCGACTTTGTATTTCCTTCTCGCGCTGCTCTTCGCTAGAAACTCGCCTTTTTACTTATACCCTTTATTGTTCTTTTTCGTGTTCCCCTCGCCGTATTCTGCCTATTTTGGCGTCCTTTCTAACTTTCTTGCGCGATTTTCTGGACTCGCTTTACGCCGTTTACTTGTTGCTTTCTTTGGTCTCTCTGTCTCTTTATATCCAGCCTATTTTCAATTAAAACCCTCTCTCCACGAACTTGAATTATAACAATTTCCTCCGGTTGACAAAGCTTAAACTCTGCCGGTATTGTTGTCTTACGAGTTGTTTAGAAATTGCAAAATACTGAGAATTACTATTCAACAACATCCTGACCTGGTGAATACAGCGGGCGATTTGGGCAAATACGAAGACTACAAAGCCCTGGCCTTGACGCTGTCAGTCGTGATAACAATAGATCTTGTCGATAGCGTCGAGATGTTGGATATTGTGCTCGATGAGAGAGAGAACAGTGACGGAATCCCAAAAGAGTTTGGATATGTTATGATAGCAGCGGCGTGCGTGAGCTTTCTGTTGACTTTGCTGCAAATTGCACACATAGGAACAGTCTCGGGCTCTTCGCAAAGAAGTGGCGATTCTCGCAAATTTTTTGCCGGTTTTTTTCGTGAATTTGCCTTTCATGGCAGTGCGCGTGGTTGTAGTTAAAAACAACAAAAAGACGATAATGAGTCCATCTTCATCACAAAGAATCTGATCTCCATCTTTCTCTCCGCAATGCAGATCTATTGGATCTGGAAGAGCTAATTTGAGACTTCTTTTTGCAAAGTATTATTTATTTTGCCGCTCTATTTGTATTTTTAGAAGTTCTTAAAACTAGTAAAAACAGTTATGCAGTAAAGGCTTTAGTGTTGTTGTTAGACTCTCATCGGATCTGTCGATCAAAAAAGTTTATATTCGATATGCAAGCTGAACGTCGTTCATTAAGCAAAGATACCCCCCAAAACTTCCAATATTTGACAGAAGTCGTTGAAAATTATTTTTGTAATGTCGCACGTTTTGTTATCTTTCACCTAGATTCTTCTAGGTGATTTCTTTTCAGAGAATCCCTTGAAACTGACTATCAGCAAACAAATTCCTCAGAAAACTAAGCTTAGTGCGGCTTTAACAAATTTGTGCGAAATGTTATAGTGAGAGAAAATATTAGAAAATGAAGTTCAAAATAATAAAAGAAAAAACTACAAATGAAATTTATATAAATATTCTAAAAAGAACGAATTTGAAGTAGTCAAAGATGGCTTCATCATCATGACGTATCCGTGGAAATGAATGGTGTGTGAGGATTCCCCTGGTCATCTTTATGTAACTTTTTTTCTTAGAAACTCCATATGTCACCTGGTTAGGTTTCTCGGAAATTGTTCATTTGACAGCTTCAGATTTTCAGCGATTTGACTCTCCTTGCAAAATTCTCGTTCATTCAAAATCTTTAGACTACTTTTTGTAATTGAGAGTACAAACAAAACAAAAACAAAAAACAAAAACAAAAACAAAAAAACAAAAAAACAAAAACAAAAAAACAAAAACAAAAACAAAAAAGCAAAAATAAAAAAAACAAAAACCAAAAAACAAAAACAAAAAAACAAAAACAAAAAAACAAAAACAAAAAACAAAAACAAGAAAACAAAAAAACAACAACAAAAAAACAAAACCAGAGCCGCAGATTAAAGTGCCGGTAATATTTTTTTGCGTAAATATTTAGCATATCAAATATACAAACCAATTCCGATAGAAGAAAAATTAAAGAAAAAAACCTTTATTATAAATTATGTATTTGCGTTATTAAAATACGATGAAAGCTGTAATTTGTTGGATTTTCATGCGATAAGAAAAGCGCAAATAAAGGCATGTGGAAAGACAAGGAGTATGAGTACATCTCAAGCGCGTGAAGTAAACAATAATAAGGAGTTCACCATTCTTCGCTTGCGAAATATCAGCCGAAAAGAAAGTTGAACAATCGTGTACGGTGGGGAAACAGGCCCCTTAATTAGCATTCTTTTCAACTGAATTCATTGGTTATCTTCCTCTTATTTGACTAGTGGTATGTGTTCGTAACAGCAGTCTTCGAAACCGATACGGAGCATAAGGCCGACGACATTGAGGAGTAAAATCTCTTCGATGTGGACGATCGAAACGCGTCCATTTTGGCCATACAGCTACATTCTTTGGAAAGAAGTGTATAGAAATATCTGGTATATGTGTATTACTCTTGTAGTTAATATCATTTGGCGCTCCAGCCACGCAATACGTTCGTCCTTTCTTCTAGACTTTTTTTTTCTCTACTATAGTTGCCGACTTGTTTTCGCAGTTTTTTACGTCACAGCTGGGTAACATGATTGTATTGGCCGCCAAATCGTACTTTCAATGCATAAAAACAATGGGCAAGGAGAACTCGCTAGGCGCTAAGGTCGATTATTTCTATTTTTAAATACAACTATCAACCAGAAAATGCAAAAAAAATTCGGGTCACAAGCACTTTAAAGAAGCTTCAAAGGAATATCAAGTCGCCAGCAGTGACAAATTTATGTATGCAGTCAGTCTGTGCCATGTAAGCTTATGGCAAATGGAATCCCCTAATCATTGTTATGCAACATTTTTCTCAGAAACTCCATATGTCACCTAGCAAGGTTTCTCGGAAATGGTTTCTTTGACAGGTTCAGATTTTCAGCGAATTAATTTTTATTACAAAAACCTTGTTAGTTCAAAAACTTCAGAGTTTTTTTTTGAGAGTGAAAGAAGAAAACCTTACAATAATAAAATTAACAATAAAGAAACAGAACCCCAGATTACTGAAGTTACGTAGGAATATCCAGTCTCCAGCGGTGACAAAATTACATATGCAATCAGTCTGTGCATGTGACCTCCTGGAATATTCGGGTAATTCCCTTTAGCATCATTTGATCAAGATCGCTGTGGCGTTACCTCATTGGCTGCTAAATTTTTCATGCAAATATACGGTATTGATTCCTATTGCAGTAGTCAGCACAATTTGCTTCTTCCAGTTTCAGACAGCTTTCATACATATAATTATGGCTTCGTTTTTCACATGGCTCGGACGACTGGCCTCGTTTTTAACACGGTTCGGGCGATTCGCTTTCTTCGGTCTGATAATTACACAGTGCTATTTTCTATCTGCTTATCTCGCGAATTATGAAGGTACATCCAATTGGTATCTCATGGTCTTTTCCTTTGGCCCAGCAGTTTTTGTTTGGATTTTTTTTCTATTTTTCGATGCGCTGTACCTTGGCTGCCTCTTTCAAATTTGGGGCCTGTACATTGTGGCTTTGGTTGTAAACATCGCAATGGTATTTGGAAAAGTCGGAGATAGAATCGACAAGACCGAGTTTTTAGGACCAACTGTATTGGAGATGGTTCTGTGCATTACACCACTTCTGCTACTACTGTTGCTAAACACAGGCGATCTCGATGATTCAGACGACGAAGAAAGAGAGATTGTTTCCAAGTTGTGTTTGCCCATGGCCGTCGATCTGTTCGATGGAATCGAGATGATAGATATCGTGTTAGAAGAAAGAGAGCACGACTTTGGAATACCCAAGGCTTTCAGTACAGCAATGATCGTGTTTGCTTGCCTCAGTATATTGGCATCTCCTTGGCAAATGGAAGAAATCAAACGTACCAAAGAGGGGCCGGAAATTCGTGTCTGTACCGCATTATGCCGCAATATTGTTCAAATAGTTTTAGTAAATCTACCATTCTTGGTTATTCGTGCGGTGGTGTTCTTTAAGTTTGGCAAAGACGAGTCCATCTTCATTGCCAAGAATGGCATAGCAATAATACTTTCCATCATGGAAATTTGTAATCTACTCCGTTTACGTCGGGTTAGACAAGAAGACCAAATAGTATAGAATAGGTACATTTTTGTAGCTCCTCGATTTCTTGTTAAGATCTTGAAATGCACTTTCATTTTTATATCACATTTTGCAAGCAGCAAATTGCCATTTTAACTAGTTCCCTGTAACCTGATAGAAGTAGAATATTTTTCATTTCCTCTATAGTTTTACTTTTTCGGCTGTGCAAACTGTACATAAAGCTTAAAATTAATGTTTTAATTAATCTCAGATGTATCTTATACAATTTCCATTTTATTCAGTCTCCTGTAGTCTGATATGAGTAGACTATTTTTAATTCCTCCAAAGTTTTATTTTTTCGGTTCTGGAAACTGCACAGTAAGCTTGCAATTACTTTTTTCGTGCATCTCAAATATATCTTGTGGAGATCAGTTTATTGTGTTGTATCCAGTCGTATATATGTGATAGAAAGCATGTTTGAACTCAAGGGCTTGTGAATTGCGCAGAACTGGCAGCTAATTTTTGCATCAGGTGTACCTAGATGACTTTGCCTCAATTTTTTTTTCTCCTCGTGAATAATGGAACTATATTCTATACATGTATCAGCCACGAATAGGATAGTGAATTAAACATGTGAATAAATTCACATTTCTTCAAAGAAAATCTGTGAGGCTCACTTTTTTCAAGAAGACTTGAAGTCTTGTATCAGTTGATGAACAATATCATTAATCTATTTCTAAGAAAAACTATCTTTGTCACGAAAAATATGAGAATACAAAAGAAAAGCAATGTAGGGAAAAGGAAAACTGGAGTTTTGAAGGGAATGCTCATAAGGGATCCAATTGATTTATATTTTGTTTTGAGCAATATCAGACAAAATTTCAAGTTCAAGTTTTAAAGCACCATGACTTGGAGCACCGCGCCAATTATTTATAAAGAAGTTTCTCTAAAAAAAGGTGCTGAAGTGTGGAAGATTAACAGCCTATCCCAAGATATGCGTTCTGCAGCTTCTTTAATTAAATTTATCACAGCTGAGGCATGGCATTAGCTTGAGGACATTTAGATTTATCTTATTTTACTAGTTATATTAGCTAAACAGAATTATATGTTTTACTTGTAAATTATGTCGAAGGAATTTTTAACTTTGTTTAAATAATGTTTTCAACCAATCAATCAATTTACAACTCCTGAGAGACAACTTTTTTCTGAGAGGCTGAAGGTTCACTGGCTAACCACTTCAGCTGGCTCATGTATTCAACCCTTCGAGAGATATTTGAAGCATTTTAAGCAACCCAGAAGTGGTCAGGCTTTCTGAAAACTCAGCGGGGCTCAGAACGTAAAAAAGATAGCAAATCTGTTTCCTGTGAAAGGCTTTGGCGGGAGCGAAGGTGAAGGGGAAAGGGGCCGTTATTTTATGTAAACATACATAGAAGGTGCCAATGTCACCATTCTCCCCTCCCTCTCCCTGTATTGTTTACGTAAAGTGACATAATAAACCGCAAATCAGGCACACTCACGCGATTATGTTAAAAAAAACAAATTTTAATTTGCAATCAGACTCCGACGAACGGCTAAAGGATCAACAAGCTAGAAAAATACACAACTTTGCGAAGGAGCTTAAAGTTGTCGAATATGTGATCGCGCTTTTGATTCAAGCCTTTCCTGGCTCTTACACTTCCTAACTAACCCTTACAACACTGAAAAATCTCCAAAATCCTATGATTGATCAAAATGCCATTTTTGGCAATGAAAATTGACGCATCTCTCTTGAACTTAAAGAACAGAGCCAAATGAAGGCCCAAAAACTCACAATTACTGAATAAAATCTGAAGGGTGATACGGATGAAGGCTGCGTATTTGTAAATAGACTGAAATCCTGTTCTCCTCTAATTGAAAATTCGAAAGCACAAAACGTATGCAAACGAAGGCAATGATAGCTGCCTCAAAGCGCTTGGGAATGCCAAGTTCATTTCCCTCCAGAAAAACTTGCAGCATTTAAATTCCGTCGAAGAGATCTAATGTTATTTGGAAGGCCAGTTTTAATAAGAACTCTCTGTCTTTACTTTTCGTTTCAAATGTGTTAAGCAACAGCAACAAAAGGAGTGGAGTTAGGCAAACGGTCATCGTCAAGACATCTGGTCCATAGAACAAATCCAAAACGAGTCAAGTTCTATCTTAAATCCAAGACTAATATTAAGAAGAGAGTATAAGATAAAAATGAAATCATTTAAAGATATTTGCTTCTAATGAAACGCTCACGATAATTATTTCAAATTTTTCCATGGTTTTCCCAGAAAGATTGTCAAGTTTATACCGATTACTGGCCGATTCTATGTAAAATTCTGCTCAATAATCGTCACAACCACAACATTTACCGATTGAACATACCTCGAAAAGGCCAAGGCAAATGACAATAGCATTTTTAGCGATAAAAATAGAGGCATCTTTTCCATAGCCCCGCCATAGATACATGCGAAGCCCCAAAAACACACAATTAACACAGATGATCTGTAGTGCTGTTCGCAAACCTTCTCTACATCTACGTAGAAATCCCCACCTATTGAAAGTTCTTGAATTTATCTCAACCAGTTGCAATGGGGAGAAGATAAAACTGATACAGACAAAAGCGAGTATGGCTTTTTCAAAGGGCTTTGGAACACCATGGCTAACTTCATTTTCTTCGATGATAACTTCCAGCATTTCAACTCCATCGAAGAGATCCAGAGCCATTCGTAGGGATATCTGCCAGATTTGATCTCTATAGCGGTTAGAATCTGTTCCAGTACTCAAAAGCAACAACAGAATCACTGGGGCAAGGCAAAGTGTCATCTTTAGATTGTTTGGACCGAAGAATTTCGCTTTGTCGAGCTTATCTTCAATCGGTTTGTCGCCTCCAAATATGATAAGGATGAAGATCACGAAACCTAAGATATAGCATATCCAGACAGCAAATAACCATGGTAAATGTTTGTCGTCCCACATGATATAAAGCCAAAGACACATTGCGGGACCGTACAGGAGGACTAGTCCATAGAAATCATCATCGCTTTCGTACTCGGCAGGATACGAAGCTAGCGAGTAGGCCTGGAGGCCTGACAAGCCAAAGAAAAGGAATCGCCCAACGCAGACCAACCAAGAGGCCATAATAAAGATAATCTTTTAAGGCACTTCAACGATGAGTTTCGCCTTCAGAAGCTCCTATAACAAAGTTACTGCTGTTGCATCGAAATAAACTTTTTCATAAGCATAATTCAAGAACGTTGTTTCTAAGAAAGCGTAAGACAATGAAGTAATCTTTTCCGAGAAAAGCGGATGTGAACAAATACAAATAAAAAACCTGATAGCTTTCGGTAAGTAACGTAATAAGAGCAACTGTCGAGTGAAGCGACTCCCCTGAATTACGTAAGATACAAAATTTGTATCTAATCATGGCTGCCTTTCCATCGTTTTCGTTTGTTTAACGAATTCGAATTCGAAATTTTTAGCCTTCCACTCGAGAAAAAACAAAATTGCCGTTCTTCATATGAATTGAACGATTTAATTTGAAGAATTCCAGAAAAATCTCTCGTGTCTCTTAGGACAAGAATTTTAAAAAAACATTCTGAAAAATAAACTTTTGCATTTGAACACTCACTTTTAGTTGAGTATGAACTCCCCATCAACGATATTGAAGTTTTGTGCGTAATCTTTCGCAGTTCGAATTAATAGTTTACCGTGCCTTCGTAATAGTTCTTGGCAAGCAAAGTCAAAGGTGTAAGTTTGTAAGTGATTTCATAATTCGTATACAAGGTCTAAAGACTGAATTTATCGATTATCACCCACTGAGATGGCTGTCTTTTTAGTTTTTGGGTCACCATGTTAAAATTAAATATTTTAACACTGTTAGAAACACAGTCCTTAATGTACGTCACCGTAGTTTAGCGATCGCTTTGGGTGACGCTGTTTAATAAAATCCATGATTACATATTTAGTTACACATCAAGAGTCTAGAATAGTCTTAATTTCTCGACAGATATGAAATCATACATCTTCTTTTATAATAAATTTAAACCTTAAAAAGTAGTAAAAGATTATAAAGTGGCAAAACTTCAAAAATTTTTTTAAACTTACAAAGCTACTTTGTATCTGACTTCGGCTTTAGAAGCACTGCAACATTAATCATGCATGAGATATCACTTCAGTCTCAATTATTAAACAGGAGCAGGAATGTCTACCTTGATACAGCGATACAATAATAAAAATTTACTATAATTTGCAATAATGATAACTAAATAATGTCTAAGCAGTTTTCACAAAGTTATGTCTCTAAACCGATTTCGCACTGTTTAAATAATGACAACAAACACTGGTTGCCATTTTAGACCACTCTTAGTCCCAGGGACCGCGCAGCAAGTTTTCGAGTGGGGGGGGCTAAAGAAGAATGCGTGGAGGAAAATTTTTTTGTTAAATTATTTTTTATTTAATTTATTTTTATTTTTGCAAAAAAGTGGGGGGGTTAAAGTCCCTCCCCCAGCCCCTCCCTCTGCGCGGTCCCTGAGTCTAAAACAACTTTTACATAACTCAGACCAAAATTTAACGGAATGTGATTCACAATGTGCATTAATTTCCAAAATGGACAAAACTATTGATATGATATTCTTTGCAATAAAGATAGACTCATCTCTGTGGTACTTTGCGTACACCTCTAAGCGAATAATCAAGAAGACGAAATTAATCAAAGCTATCTCTACCAAATTGCGAAGAACTGTCGCTCGGAAGCGAATCTTTGTGTCATCTCTTGATAGCTTGTTCTCAAACAATTGCCAAAGTGACATAAGTAGACTAAGAGATGCCACTGTAACCATGACTATTCCGAAACTTTCAGGAATTGTTTTGAGGCTTGAAGTTGCACTTGTCGGGTTGGTTTCATTTATTGTAGTATTTGCACACGAGCAATTCGCACTCCCGTGTCTTTTGTCTTCCAAGACGATATCTATCATATCCACAACGTCGAAGAGATCGATGGCCATTTGGTAGGAAAGCTTAGACACTAGATCTTTGCGCTCATCAGAGCGATCTAGATCGTCGGCATTGTGTAACAACAACAGCAACAGAGGAGGTGTAACGCACAGAACTCCCTTCAGGACATTAGGGCCAAGGAATTTATTGCTGTCAAGTTTGTCTCCGATTGTTCCAAATAAGATTCCAATGTTAACGACGAGGGTAAAAACATATAAAACCCAGACATAGAACAACCGACTAAGTTTCGCTTCCGTACAGATGAGAGCAAACCACACGAACGCTGTTATAGCAAATAAAACACCTTGTACTATCGGTGCCCCAACTGCAACCTCGTCGTAATCGACGGAATAAGCGACTAAAAATCCCCCTTGGGTGAGGAGGAGAAGAACAAATGCCAAACGGCCTACGAACATCCAACGCGACGCCATCACTAGAAATTGACAACCTTCGCAGCGAAACGTGTTTACTTATCAAAGAAGGCTCCTATAGCGACTGGCCAATAAGGAAGCGCCAAATCGCAATGCGTCAAGCAAGTTTGATATAATTTAATTAAGTCATAGGTATTTTCCCAGCGTCGAGGATCGAGGATGTCTGCGTGTAAAGAAAGGTTGATATAAACATGCAGGGACGAGATGGGGGTAATTACCTTGTATATCAGAGACCGACATACTCTTGCTGATAGCATAAGTAGATGAATATATTAAAATTCTTCAACAAAACAAATTTTTTTGCAAAGATGTAATCCAGATGTAAATAAACTGAAATGGACTTTCCCGGAAGAGCTGAAGCTTTTTCTGGAAATATTATCTTTCCGTGAAAAAGTTCATATATATCGATATCAGTGATGTAGTGTTTTGGGGGTTTCCCCGCCATTTCGGATTCACTGAGTCTGAAATGAAAACGTCACGCTCTCCCTTTACTGATTTTGACCCTTTTTTTCAGAGATGCTCTGTAAGCGATTTACCAAAACTAATTCGGCAACTCTCTACTCTTATTGTCATTAATGAGCGTGCTCACAGAGCAATTAAAATTTTTACAGATTTTCCCCATCACGAATGTCTTCGACCTTTTATTTTCAGATTGAGAATATCAGCTTACGAAGACCCCAGGATACCACGCACGTATGCTGTTCATCATTATGATAGGGTAGCTACTGAATGAAAACAGAGAAAATATACACCCCCAAAACGTTTATCTATAAACATATAGTAACAAACTGTCCCCATCTAGGGAAGAAAAAATAAATAACAACAATAACGAACAACAAATTAGTGCTTTTTGCTCAACTGACGTCAAATTACAAACATGTCGGACGACAAAATATCAACCCAAAACTCCCCTTTCAACTTATATGGAGTACAAATACTTTAATTTTTCATTTATTTCAAAGCCATTAGTTTTTCCCTAACAAAAAATTAATCAGTTTATCAAATTATGGAACTCACGAGGTCTTTATTGTAAATTTAAATTTGGCGGTAGAAAATCGATCAGGCCATGATCAATGCTGAGACAATAAGCTGAAATAATGTCCACTCTGAAATTATGTTGGCAGTATCATCACAACTAAAGAAGTGGTCTCGCACGTCTTCAGTTCACGCTGAATCCCACGGTAGTTTCAGCTTAAATATAACCAATAGCGTTTCGTTCAAAAGAGAAGAACTGGAAGATGGCAAATAATTAAAAAAATGGATAGTATAGATATTCTCTATTTCTTCTTGCAGAATGCATATAAGTTCTTGAAGTAGGCGGGAATATCTTTTTTCTCATGACTACTCCATAGCGGATTAAACGTGGATCTCAAAAATTGAGGTTGTTAAGTATTCATATATTCAGGCTATTGTTCTTTCTGATTACTTATTCATTCCGATGAGTTTGCCGACATGCCGGCATGCTTCCGAAGATCGTGAAGAACGCAACTTCTTTGATGTAGGTGAGATATTTTTCTTTTGTTAACAGATGAAATAAACTCTCCCGGGAATCTGCTTGATTGATGTCTAATAATTGCTACGCATTCCGGTGTGTTGTACATCAACCTCGGATCAAACCCAAGCACTTATCAGCTTACATGTCTTTTCAAGTAGAAGTAAACATTGCATGCGCCGCGCGCCCCCAAACGGAGCTCGCGTATTTTAACATAGTACGGTATTTGCGATGTGAAGTTAAGAGAACAAGCGGTATAAATATACCATATAGATTTTAAACAGGGTTCTTAAATCATTGAGAACTTGCTTTGTTGCTTTCTAAGATATTTTTATCCAGTGGAAAAAATAAAAGTACGAGTAATGAGTATAATAAATTAATAAAATACGTTGTAGAGTTTTCAATGCACGTAATGAATCGCGTAAGCAAACCCCCCTTGAAGTGTTGTAATGCGACTTGAGAGTCGATTTCGGGACTTTTTTTACTTTTGTTCCTCTTCTCGTTTCTTTGGTTATAAACATTACCTCTGTTTTGCTTGATTCAGTCGACTTTGTGGATCGATCATTCAGCGAACGCCGCGTGATTGGTGGTCGGCTTGCGTGACTGCTGACAACAAGCAAGACACGACACGCAATTGGTTGCTTCTTGACAATAGCTCATTCACAATTTGTAAACATCCATTCGCGTTCCACGCCGCAAGGGCAAAATTCAGCTGAGGCGATCTGCCGATCTACAATTTCTTGTGGTTAGCTATGTTGCAAAATCAGGGTGTTGAGTTTGACAATGGATGAATCTTCTGATGGAGAAATTAACTGGCCAAAAAGTTTCAAGCCGATCTTGAAAGGTGGCAGTAAATACTTCGTGATCGACGAATCATTTCTGCTCGCACTAGGAGTCAAAGTCCATGTAAAGCAAAGAGGATTCAAAGATCTCGATCACATACTAGAAAGACACGGTAAGTGGAATTTACGAATCTTTTCACGAATTCAATGTAGTTTATCAGCTATCGTCTAAAGAATCGAGGTAATGGGCAATAGGGTACTATTTGTCAAGCCTTCTGATAACCTGCGATTACGCGAAAAGAAACTTATTTCCCTTGGATTGAACAATCAATCGAACACTGCAATGAAAACCCTGATCACTCGAACTATGTTACCCTTATAGGCTGAAAACATTACGATTGCAGTATTGCAGGACCATGTTTGTATATGAGCGAGGTGTGATTTCAAACCCTTGTATCTTTCTCCCTAAAAATATAATATGCTGTATCGTCTTTCTTTTGGTTATTGTTGTAGACAATCCAATACAATTTTTATCGTATGCATGTTGATTTATCTAAATTATTTAAATTGTGCTTTTTAATTTTCAATAAAGTCAGTTTAAGTCACTAAAAATTGAAGAGCACAATAAAAAATAACTCCAAAATACTGACGATTAAATACACCTGCCCCTTATTAAATTTTTCAACATATATTTATGCATGGATTTATTACTCTAATGCCCTTTTCTTGTCATTTCACTAAAAATGGGCACACCAAAGTAATAATACAGTTAATGCTACATTAGAGCTTACTTTAATTTCTGCCAAATTTCTAAGATTTTTTGTCCAGTGCTTAAAAGACTTCATCAGCTCAGTTGAGTTTATATGCTCTAACCTAAAGTGCCTGAGGTAGTTTTGACCAAAGATTTAAATGATATTTTACAAGTTTGCAAAAGGGAGGCTTAAAATAACAGTCCTGAACTGAGTGAAAGGAAAACAAATGTTTGATTAAGTTATTGGAAAATTTACTTTCAAAATGGGTTCCCTTATAAATTACAACAGGAATTTAATTACAACAGGAATTTAAAATGCTAGCTTTCTAAAAACACCGCATCTCTGCCCACTGATGTCATAACTTAAGTTCTGGTTTGTACCCTTTAAGGTTTAGTTGTACAAGATGAATATCTGTTAAAAAATGGGTCAGCAAAACTCCGCACCCACGTGTCCTGTAAGGCAGCAATACTGGTGCTGTTCAACTTCAGCAGTGCTAGGAAGAGCGAAGAAGCAGCAGCAGCAAGAGACTTGCGGTGTCAGTTGGTAGACATCATACTTGTAAATGTTGCTCCCACATCTGAATCCCTTCAACAACAAGCCAATAGAGACAGTTCCGCATATCCTTGCCCCACTGTTTCTGGCCCTCCTGCACATCTGTTGGAGTCGACAACTCCTGCTAACTCTACTGTTCCTGGCCCTCCTGCACATCTGTTGGAGCTGACAACCCCCGATAAAGGACACCTACACTGTAGCAAGGGGATACCTTACAAAAAGTGTACTTTTCAATTTTATTCGTTTCCTTCTGCAAAACTCAAATTGAACTCGTAATGTTTGAAACATTGGAACATTGTACTTGCTTACCAGAGGTAAATTATTAGGTTGCTGCTAGTTCATCGCAGGATTACCCCCAGCAGTAAATTCCCCGGTACCCATTTATACACCTGGGTGAAGAGAGGCACTATGAGAGTACAGTATCTTGCCCAAGAACACAAAGCAGTGCCCCAGCTGAGGATCCAACCCAGACCGGCTCTCGCATTTTAGTTAATTACCAAGAACAGATTTATATGCAGCTTAAAACATTTTATTAGAGACTTTTTAAATTTAAAAAATATATGATTTCAATGTACATACATATACATTTTATCTTCCACAATAATAACAACTGCATTACTGCACAGAAAATCCTTTAGCATTCAAGCTACTCCACAATAAGGAGCAATCTATATTGCACAATTTATCATCAAATAGAACTGAAAACATCTTAAGATTAAAAAGCATCACCATTCAAACATGCTATTTTTAGTACCCTACGTATTCCCAGGCTTTTGGCCTAACTGAAATGCCAACCCTGTAACCACCTGCCACCTTTAATAACTTTTAGAACACCCCCAATTAATTACTGGTAGCCAAAAAATAGAGTTTTAAATCATTAAATGTTTTATGCAGTCACCGCGTGTACAAAATGTCGAAAGACAGCAACGCATGATTAACTCCACGAGTCAAGACCGACCGACCTCGAAATGATAAACTATTTTCGCTTTTGCTCTTCGCAGTGATTACAACAACTCGTCCAAGATCCATTTTTAAATCTTTTGCGACGCTCTTTAATCCTAAAAACATATTAAGGCTAAAAATACACCGTGAATAGAAACTAAATCCATTCAAATGATTGCAGTTTATCGATCTCAAGTTCATTCATCTCAAGACAATGTAAACAAAAGGATACAAGATCACAAGTCTGTTCGCGCAAGGTAGCTTAATTACACTATTGTCCAAGTCTTTTGAAGTACCTTCCGCAGTTCCTGTGGTCTTCTTCCAAAATATCTCATCTTTTTCGAAACGAATAAAACCGAAATCATTCAATACGTTTTCGGCAGCCACCGAAAGCAATGCCCAAAGGAATAAACCGAGCCTTCGAGGTAAAAATCCAGCAGTGTCACCCATTTCAGTAAGTCACAAATAATCCGGGCTGGGGTCGTAGTAGTAGTAGTTTAAACCACCAGCCAAAATACTTCCAAATATAATCATAGACAGCGAATCAACATACCACGTTATCTAAAGTGAACAACAGTAATAAAACTGAACCACAATAATTGATTTTTATTACCATTATGGACTATGAAAGTTTGTAATCATCACATGGTGTTATACCAAAAAAATGTTTGAACGGCGCCGGGAAGTGTTTTTTCCTACACTTATTAATTCTTATAATATAAGTGTGATTCGGTTAAATCATTATCTGCGAGTTATACATCGTTTCAGTCGCCCTTTGAACTCTCTGAGTCGCGTAGAACATTTTCGCCATTCCACTTTACATAGACTTACAAACGTGGTTGAATGCGATTGACAAAGAGCGTGAATTTCCAAAATTGAAAAAATTATTGCGATGAAATTCTTGGCTATAAAAACAAAGTCGTCTTGGCCGTACATAAAAAAAACCACTCCACGGATGATCAAGAAAAAGAAATTGACGAATATCACCTCTAGAACGTTGCGTGCAACTGCTGTTCGAAATTGAATCCCCGTGTCATTCGTGGATAGCTTGTTTTCAGCCCATTGCCATATAGACAACATGAGACTGAAACATGCGACTCCTATCATCACTCTACCGAATACTGGAGGTATTGCAAGGCTTTTGTTCAATTCCGAGGTTAATATACCTGTGGAGTTGAGTGTGAAGCTTGGTAGAGTCTCCTTAAGGGTTTTGTTTAATGTGGCTATAACATCTGCTGGTAGGCTCCGAGCTTCATTCACACGTCCTATGTCATCCAAAACAATGTCAATCATGTCAATCACATCGAACAGATCGATGGCCATTTGAAAAGACAGCTTGAACACTAAATCTTTGCGTTCTCGAGATCGATCCAGGTCATCTGCATTATGTAGCAACAGTAATAACAGAGGAGGCGTGAGGCATAGAATTCCCTTTAAGAGACCCAAGCTCGGGAACTTCTTGGTGCCAAGTTTGTCTCCAACCAATCCAAAAATGATCCCGATGTTCACTATCAAGGCAGCAATGTAGAGACTCCAGACTAATAACAGCCAACGAAGTGTGGCTTTCTGAAAACGTAACAGCAAAGACCACGCACCAAGTGCTGGGAGGAAAACTGTTAATAAACTGTACCATTTAGAATTTTCATACTCGCCAGGGTAGCAAGCGAGGAAAATTGCTTGAATTACTAAGATAACGCCAAATGCAATCCGTCCTGTGTTCTTCAGTGTCAATTCAAACGGACAACGAGCCATAATCAGAGAGATCGAAGGGCTAGGAGGTTTGTAAGCAAAACTTTATGACTGCTATAAATATAAAGCTGACCTTTCAAATCTGAAAAGTTTTATAGCGAATCAGCAAACGCCACATCCTTTTCCGTCATGCAAAAATAGCTCATAAGGGACTTTCCCGAATCGGTTAATCAGCCTTAAAGTTTTTCCTAGAAAACAGGAAGTGGTTGTTTTCATTTGTCTTGATTGATTGACATCATAGTTTTATAAGTTTATCATATTCAAGGTTACTCTGACAGTCAACACTGGAATCATTTGCAATCGTCCTTGCAACTAAGGCCAACATCATTTGTGATGAAGTAACTTACATTTCTTTTCTTCGCATATATTCACGAATTATATTGTTGCCTAACATCGCACCCCGTGACATACACATAATCTCGTGCGGCCTTTCTCGGGAAAGCTCTCTCCGTTTTCTCACGTTTACCAGCATTCCAAATTGGTAAAGAATCACCGATTGCATGTAGCTGTTAGTTATCTTTTTTTCCAAAAATTCGTAGATGGCTGTTTTGGATTTTTCTTTTTTTGCAGTCAACCAAGAAGAGAAATTAAAATTAAGTGAATTCATCACAAGATTACGTGACTAAATACGCATATATTTCATTTTACTCTAACGAATTGCGGATTTATGTATAAGTAAAATAAATCGGTTAAGTCAAGAAGAAAATTTTACACAAACTTAGAGTTCTTTATTGGGATATGTATACTACATCTGTGATTACTGAAAGTCGAATTACTACGGATCTAAAGAGAATAATCATAATTATTTATAATCATACTAATTCCACACTGTTCTCGAACATGTCGTATAGTCAAGGTTCGGTCCCGAATTTTTGTTCACGCAAAGTCGTCGTCCCTGATTCCCTTCAAATCTTGACGACGAAGTCCGTCCTTTTAACTCAGTGGGGCCTTCTCAGTCCGAAACAACTTACGCAAAGAGTGCGTATATATCCAAAATGGAGAGAACTATTCCCATGATATTCTTAGCCATGAAGATAGACTCGTCTTTGCCATATTTGAAGAAAACGACCGCGCGCATGATCAAGAATACAAGATTGACGAACAAAATTTGTATAACGTTTCGGGCAACTGCGATTCGAAAATGAATGGCTGTCTCGGTATCTTCTGAGAGTTTATTTTCAGCCAGCTGAAAGATAGACAAGAGAAGAGCAAAGCATGCAACTGCAACCATTCCTTTTCCGAATCCTTCAGGAACTACAGTTAAGTCGGCCAGGTTCTCCAGAGTTGGCTGTGTTACGTTGGTACACATGTACTTTTTGCTGAGTACCTTTGGGTAGAAATTACGCAATGCCTCATGGCCATCTCTTCCTTCGTCAAGGGCAATATCTATCATGTTGACAACATCGAATAGATCTATGGTCATACGATATGCCAACCTGGATACTAACTCTTTGTATTTTGTAGACTGATCAGAATCTTCTGCAGTATGTAGCAACAGTAGTAAGAGAGGTGGTGTTAGGCTTAAAATCACCTTCAGGGTATTTGGACTGAGGAATTTTTCTTTGTCAAGTTTGTCTTCAACCCTCACAAAAATGATGACAATGTTAGGTATCAAAGCAAAAATAACGTATAAATACCACACATAAAACAACCATCGAAGTTTTGCGGCTTTAAAACGTACGAGATACGTCCACGTGCACACTACTGGAAAGAACGTAGTTGTTACGGCATACCAGTTAGGATCGTTTTCATAAGTCGCAGGATATGCGGCAAGGAGGAAGCATTGAACTGTCATGATAATTCCGAACGCTACAGTCGCCAGTAATCGCTCTAAATAAGGGAAAGACCAATCTATGACTCACGATAGGTTGACGAACTTGACAGAATGATCGAAAAACAACAGAAGAAATGGCGCTTACCTAGGTAAATAAGCTTCAGCTTCACTCACAAGATAAACGAAGCGATCCAATGAATTTGCGACTAGTTGTTTTGACGTCCCATAAGGAGGAACTCAGTCTCCAACAATAACATTTAATTGTAATTAAACGTTTGTTGTTTGAATTTATTTATCGTGCTTTTGTGATGCTACTTGGCAAGCAAAGCTAAGGTTATAAGGCTTCAGTGATCTTATTTTTCTTTTATATTGTCGAAAGACTAAGTTCATTAATTATTTCACACTGTGATAGGCGATACACCTTTATTAAGTTTGCGTATCTATGTCACGTGAAGAAAAGGCCTCGTGGACTTTTTGGTGTTTGGGTTGCCAACTTGAGCTTAAATACTTGAAAACTGTGAGAAGCACAGTCCTTATTTTGTGTTACCTTGCTTCATGATTGTTTCAGACGACACTGTTTACAGTGCTACTTGTTGATAACTATACATGACACAATAGTCCTGAGATATCCTGAGTCACAACTTGAAGCATTAGCGATGCAACTGTAGGCCTGTATCTGTCATACAGCAATAGAATTTATGTTGTGAGAGAAAGTATAACGATAGAAATAAAGAAAGCTGAGTACTTTCACTATGCAGTTTTCACAAAGTCTCCCCCAAACCAATTGTGCATTGCTTCAAAAGTGACATCAAACACTCCTTGCCAGATTAATCTTTCTCAGGCCGAAACAACTCTTACATAACACAGACCAAAATTTAACTGAATGTGATTCACAATGTGCCTTAGTGTCCAGAATGGACCAAACTATTGATATGATATTCTTAGTTATGAAGATAGATTCATCTTTTTGGTACATTGCGTACACCACTAGGCGGATGATCAAGAAAAATAAATTGACCAAAACTATCTGTACCAAATTGCGGAGAACTGTTGTTCGAAAGCGAATCTTTGTGTAATTTCTTGATAGCTTGTTCTCAAACAATTGCCAAAGTGACAGTAATAGGCTGAGAGATGCTACTGCAACCATGACCATTCTGAATCTTTCAGGAATTGTGGTGAGGCTTGACGTTGCAATTCTCGGTTGGGTTTCGTTTATTATAGTATTTGCATTCGAGTAACTCGTGCTCCCGTGTCCTTTGTCTTCCAAGACGATATCTACATATCCACAACATCGAAGAGATTGACGACCATTTGGAAGGAAAGCTTAGACACTAGATGTTTGCGCGCAGTAGAGCGATCTAAATCGTCGGCATTGTGTAACAATAACAGCAACAGAGGAGGTGTGACACACAGAACTCCCTTCAGGACATTAGGACCGAGCCATTTTTCGCTGTCAAGTTTGTCTCCGATAGTTCCAAATATGATCCAAATGTTTACCACGAGGGTAATAACGTATGAAAGCCAGACATAAAACAACCAGCGAAGTTTCGGCTTCGTACAGATGAGAGCCAGCCACACGAGCGCTGCTATAGCAAATAAAGCACCTTGTACTATTGGTACCCAGTATGCAACTTCGTCATAATCGACGGAATAAGCAACTAAAAATCCGCCTTGGCTGAGTAGGAGAAGAAAGAACACAAAACGGCCTAAGAACATCGAACCCGACGCCATATCTTGAACTTGAAAGCCTTCGCAAGCGAAATATGCTTACTCATCAAGTTGGTAATAAGTAACGCAGGTGTGAAAATTAAATGAAGGGATTTTCCCAACGTTGAGGATGTCTGCGTGCACAGATAGATAGACGTTGAATTCAACTTGCAGGGACGAGATGGAGTTACACTGGATATATGAGTAACCAACTCACTTTTACTGATAGCTTAATATTTTGATCGATATATTCAGATTTCTGCAACAAAAGTATTTCACTTTGCGATAATGTCATTCGAGTGTAAATAAACTGAAAGGGACTTTCCCGGAAGAGCTGAAGCTCTTTCCAGAAATAATGAAACAGCTGGCTCTCTTTCTGCGGAAAATTTGCATATATTAGTATAAATGGTGTAATTTTTTCTGGGTTTCCCCCTCCTTTCGATTTCATTGAGTTCATCAGGAAAAGAAAACGTCACGCTCTCCCTTGACTGATTTTGACCCTTTTTTCAGAAACGCACGATGAGTGATTTACCAAAACTGATTCAGAAACCTTCTATTCTCACAGCTCACAGAGCAATTAAAAATTAATAGGGATATTCCCCGTCATTAATGCCCTCGGCCTTTCGTTTTCAGATTGAGAATATCACGAGAATGAATTTCACACACACAAAAACCAAAAAATAAATATGGAAGGGATCTTTTGTAGTAATGAACACTACTTAAGCAGTAGTAAAAATAAGGCCTGAAAAAAAGAATCAAAGCCTGCGCGGGATTTAAACCCATGACCTCTGCGATACCGGTGCACAGTCTACCAACTGAGCTAACAAGCCAATTAGGAGCTGGTCACTATGCTAGTTCCAGATTGTTAGCTCAGTTGGTAGAGCGCTGTTTAAGTAGTGTTCATTACTGCGAAGATCACTTCCACATTCATTTCTTCAACAAAAAACAAAATGGCACATTTTCCTCAATTGACGTCAAATTTAAAATATTTCGGACGACATAATATCAACCCAAAACTCTCCTTTCAACTTATACGGAGTTCGAATATTATATTTTGTAATGTCTTTCAAAGCCATTAGTTTATTTCCAAAAGTAAAAAGTTCATCAGTTTATCAAATTATCACAAAGTCTTTATTGTACATTTTAATTTGGCCATAGAAAATCGATCAGGCCATGATGAAATCAAGGCTGAGACAATAACCTGAAATAGTGTCCACTCTAAAATTATGTTGGCAGAATCATCACAGCAAAAGAAATACTCTTGCTCGTCTTCAGTGCATGTTGAATCCCACTGTAGTTTCAGCTTAAGAATAATCAATAGCGTTCCGTTCAAAAGAGAAGAACTGAAAGATGGCAAATTAAAAAAATGGTTACTAATGATATTCTTGGAGAACGCATGTATATTATTAAGGTTTGCGGGAGTGTCTCCTTTCTTAGGTTAAATCACCAGCCAGAATACTTCCAAATTTAATCAATAAAGGAACAGAAAAAACTTATAAAATTGTCAGTTGATGCAAAAATGCGATTACATCTTTCGGGAATATCAGAGTCTCTCCGCCATACCCATACCCCTTATAAAATTTTTCTAGTTCCAGACGTCGCGGCGTATTTTAAGTTTTAAACGGCCACCTTCGAGTAATGTAATTTTTGTTTTCATTGCTCTTGTGATAATTCTATTCAGACGAGAGGATTTCCGAGAAAATTGCTGCGAAGTTAATGTTCTGATTACCTTGTTATCGTCAGTAAAAACAGGCTTCTCCAGCTGGGCGGAGTTATCGTTCGGAATCCCACCATCTTCTATGTCGTTATTAAAGTCAAGGGAGACAGTTTGAAATTCATAGGGAGGTGGTTGCTCATAGACTATCCCATTATCAATTCCAAGTTTGACCTCTGTTTGATGCTGTGCTTCTTTCTCTTTCTTTTCTCTCTTCTCTCTTATTCGACGTGCTCTCTTAGGTCTGAGATACAAATAACTCTCGTTTAACGTTTCGTGGAGAGATTTACAGAAATGTCAAGGTTAGCCAATCGATAGAAATGTGACGGGGTAGACATAGAAGCAAGAAATACGTTTGTTCTCGCAACTCTCAGCAATGTTAAAGGACACTCAATTACAACCATTAACAATGCAACTTATAACGCGATCAAACATCAACATCTGTCACATCATCATTTTTACACTGCTCCACCTTCTCATTTGCATTCTGTATACTATACGTCATATCAACACTAACATATACTTCTAACATATACACTTCTAACTAAACATAATTTCATCATAAATTTCTGACACAAAACCACCTCTTTCTAAATTTAAATCAACCAAATACTTCCGAACCCTTTAGATGGGTTGTTTCTCCAACAAATGCACAGTAGCCCAGTGTTAGAGTATGGGAAGATGAAATTAAAACCGGCTGGGGCTGGAATCCTCATCTTTTTTTTGGATCCCACGTTCGTATGTGTAACATATTTCTTTGTGATAAACTGTGGATCAGCGTTATTATCAGAGCAATTGCGCACCTCCCCCGCCCCTAACCCAATAAAAGTAAACTGATAACAAGTTAGGGCCAATGTTGGGTTAACGGAGGGGAGGGTGTGCAATTTCTCAGATACCCTCCCTTCCATGTTGTTTCAGTCCCGAAATTTTATCTTAGGAGCCCCGTTATGTCTACTCCTCGTGTTACCCACCTGTGCCGACAGCAGAAGCATAACAGACCAGCAATGATCACACAACCAAACAATACAATTGGAATTACTGAAAAGTACAAAATAAAGTGTTTACATTTAAAGTACATTTCGGAAGCAACGATAACGATAAGATAACACTGAATTACTATATCATGCCTCCTTTTCAGTAGTTCCTACCTAAAAAGAGAGTTTCTTTTAAAGGCTTCTTCGCAAGTGCTCCATTGCTAATGAGATCAGAATCAAGGAACTTTCTAGGACCATCTTTCTCAAAGACAAAAAGAATGACTCTAATGATACATAACGTTAGAGACATTACACTGCCTGCTACAGATAATTACACAATAAACATGAATCCAATAGGTTTATAACCTACAACAGCTTACACGTTTCTTATTTTGCCCAGCAGTAGAAAAGCCAGAGAACAAAACAGTAATTTCAAGGAACGCGACCGACATTATTTATTTTTTATACACCTCCTTTAACATCTTAAGTTTAAACTAACACAATAAACAAAGTGATTTTAGCGGAGGATTACAGAGAAATTATCGAAACAAGTATTTCAAAAATTTTTTAAATATTCTCTCGTTATCATTCGTGTGCAAAGTAGTCCTGAAAAGGTCTGTTTACGGTGAAAATGAATAACGTTTTGACAACCTGAACGGAAATCACTTTGATTTGGCCACAACCGCAAATCCAGGGGGTAGGTCTACGGGTCTCGGAACCCACTCCGTCTACCCATTAGACCTGTTGTTATCTTGTCGACTTGTCTGACACCAAAAGCGTCAGGATCACATAATACAACTCAACTTGAAGCATTTAGAATTTACTTTTCTTGAATTATTTCGTAGCCTATCTAGGCTTTGTGTCGTCTGGATATAAATTTGGACCCCCTCCCTCGTCCCAATTCCTGGATTCAAGTTTGTGTAAACTGCAACAGGGTTATTTAACATTATCAGCTTAGTTGATAACGTAAATTAGCCACCAAAAAGAGTTTCGAAGCTGACGCTTTGAGCGTCAGTCCTTTGTCATGCTCTCCCACTATCGCAGCGACACATTGTGTTTAGAAAATTTAGAAACTTTTCTTTAGAAATTTACCCCCTTTATTAGTGTAAACTGTAAGCTAGCCAGTTAGTCTCTATTTGAATGCTAAAGGAAATAAATTCTCAGTTTAACCGAAGTTTCATCTCACCTGATGGACATCCATACAAAGCAATACGCATACACATCCATTTTCCCGTGCGGCTCTTTGGATAAATACGAATATAATGAGCCCACGTGTCTTTCAACGTCGTATTCTTTGCTTTTACGTCGTCATTAGCTGAAAACTTTGTACAGATAATTCCATATAAGTTCATGTTAAAAAATGATTCATATTTTTAAAGAAAAATTAGACCGTGTGTGCTGGGGTTGATGAAAATTATGAAACAGTACTGTTATCGATGAAAATAATTGTTTTTAACTTTAGAAAATTGGTGTTTAGATTCCTATAATGTTTTGAAATAAAAGAAAAATCCCCAAAATCGAGAACAAACAGAGAGACAACCCCCCACCCTCCAAAAAATAAACAAAGAAATAAATGAGAAATAAGTGAATTGTTGCCGAATTAATGAATGAATAATGTCTGTGTGAATGCATATTTCAATGCATGATCCATGATGAAATGGATGACAGCATACTGGTATGTATGATGAAATGAATGAGTGCATGCATGCATGCATACCTAACTTAATGGTCTCGAATTCTGTTGTCTCTTAACCGATTTAATGGGTATTACCTGCTTTTTTACGCCTCCCTCAGAGTAAAACGTCCAATCCTTAGAGTCATTGCTGTTTGAGACTTCAAAGGCTTTAACAAAAATCTTTTCACCATCAATAACGACTCCTTCCGACTCAATGATCGTAAAATATGTCAAATGTTCTGAGGAACAAACAGGAATTGACAAACAATAGACCATTGTTGTGAAATTGAAAAGAATCTAACGACTCTTTGTTAAGTTTGGGTACACGTCAGGAATTCTGGATACAAGTAATGAATTCGACGCAGTCTTGTATCCCTTCTTAGGGAAATATTGTGTAATGTCAAGCTTATCATTTTAGACTGCTATTTTTGCGAGATGATATCGCTCGACTAAAAGGACAGAAGAAGGCAAAATTAACTGACTTTTTACTCTAGGCAAAAAGCTTCGACCTCAAACCTGCTGCATTCGGTTCAGTTTATTCTGGCTTACGTCAAAATACATACCGAAGAAGATTTGTATGTAGGGATCTGAGTCGCTCTGTGACGCACACCATCCATCAGCCCATGATCCTTTGCTCTCCAAACCAATCCGACCACGGAAAGCCTGGTGCCCGTTGCTCTGGTGCGATGATGACGTCATGTACTTGTCTGGAATTCTTTTCGAGCTTGGTACCTTAACACCTAACTCTTCTTCATTCGGACATCCTACAGAAACCGTGAAAATTGCTGTATCAAAATATGACAAGGTAATAAAGTCCCTGTATTTCAGCGGTTGATAAGTAAAAACTAGGCCTTTATAGATTGTGCTTGTAAAAGTAGTTATGGTCAAAATTATGCTCGTTTTGATAATTACGCAAATCGATAAAAAAAGCATGATATCCTCTCTGACTTTTGTTCCACACTTCCTCGGAAAAACCGCCAGTTTGCTGCCTAAGAAAGCGGAAACTGGGACAGACGGCGCAACCTTTACGTAAAACGTCCAATATTCATAACCTCCTCAGCCAAAACCTTCAATGCCATTAATAAAATTTATGTATACAACGTCTGTAGCCAGGCGTGAAATCGGAAAGTCAATGTTGTCACGGCATTTCGAACCTATTTGATGTTCAGGCTACCTTCTTCACACGAATGTTTTGTTCTCCTATAAACTATGCAACCAAGTGGCATAAATTTGTAATACTCAATGTAATTTGTAACTTCCTCAAAACTCTCCATAGTCAAATTTGCTCAATTTGCGAAATTTTTCATTCCACTCATTGTGATCGTGTCTAAATTCTTGCCTCATCAACTAATGAAATCACAATTCAGCTTTGACTAGAGGAATTTTTTTTCTTTTCAGATGAGTGGCACCAACAAATAACTATTCTCCTTTTCCTATTCCTTCCTTCAAATTTGTCCAGTTAGATTGTACAAATTCTCTGTGACTGTTGCACAGATTGGACAACAAACGGCCAACTTATTCAACAACAAAGATCAGACCTATTTGTGTCATTTTGTTGGTGACGAAGTTTCTAAAAAAAATGAAAAATGCTTTATTTTTAAGCTGTAATACAATAACCTGTGTCTGCTTTTCCACAAGAGCTACGCAGTTCATCAAAAGTTCTGAGTTTTCCTTTGACGTAGTCGCTTGCAATCCCTGATTTAAATAACACGCACAAACAACATACACACACTTACTTTGTGCATCAGTCCATGGAGTTAGCAATAAAGCCATAGTAAAAATAATCAAAATTAAGGTGTTTCCCTTAAGTAGAAAATCCATGGTCTAAGCTGCGAAACGCATGTAAACAACCAGATTCTGATATCGTTACTTGCTCAGTTTGAAGGGAAGAGTTCACTTTATGTAAATATACGAATTTTAAACAATTAGATTATAACTTGCGTTTAGCTGAATAAAAGGTGAAGTCATCTGTAAAGTAGTTTTGGTTTCTGCCTGTTTCCAGAACGCTCGGAACTGATGTCTGCTGTGGTATTCTCTGTCATCCAACGCATTGAATGAATAGTCTAGAATTTAGGAAAGGAAACATGAGTGTTTTGTGAGATTTCGGCAATTTAACTGGAGACGAATAGGATAGCTTGATAGTACTGTTTTGTTTTGTTTTGGTTTTTTTTTATATACATATGTATAAATAATGCTCCCCTGATCCTCCCCCTAATTTTTACAGCAGATGCAAACTCTAAAGAATGATCAAGCTTTATCTTATTATTAAAAATTTTTACATCTTGGATTACCAAGTTATCACAGAGCTCTTTTTAGTACTTTGATCAGTTTAACACCCAAAAAGAAGTGGACATACATAATACATACAATCAGCTCAGTAAAAATGTGTCTATTCAAGACGAGGTTCAGCCTCTGCTGCCTATTACTATTGCCAGCTTGCCTTCCGCTCAAAAATATTTGACTGGGAAGATACATACATACACACACACATACATGTGGGATTAGGTTACATATGTGGACCTGCTCTATCGCAAGAGATCAATGAATTGTAACTCAATGAAACACTGATAATTCAAATAGATAAATATAAATGACAGAAATTAAACTAACAGCATGCAGTGCTGTTTCGGCCTTCTCGGCCTGATCAGTGCTGTGATCTTCGATAAAGTGCTTAATTTGGATATAAAACCAAAACTTGGTATAGTTAAATATAACTATTTTCGTTTTTTATTCCTATTTCAGCTAATGTGTATTACGTGAATTACAAGTCTTACTAGCAAGTTAAAATCACCTACGGGCAAGGCGTACACTTTATACCAAAATTGCTTGGCATCAAGTACATCATCTAGTACATCATCACCATCTTCAGGTATTTCTAGTTTACGTATGAAAATCACACAAATCACAGCATACACTCAAGTTGCCAAATCAATCAGCGGCAAATTATTAGAAAGGAATGCAGTAATTTTTAATAAAATTACTTAGTAGCTGAAAAACAAATAGCACAGTCAAAATGTGCCGGCAGCCGGGGATTTGGCCGCCTGCAACAAAATATCTGCTGCTTACTTCACACTTGTTAAACTCGGTCTAGTCTGAACGAGGTTCGGCCTCTACTTCTTATGCCAGCTTGCCTCCTCAAAAATATTTTGACTGGGCTGAAAAAAAATGTATTAGAGAAAAGTGGCCATAACAAGCCAACTTACTGCAAAATAAGAAACATAAAAGAAACACTTCAAACTAAAACACAATATAAGCCTTTCAGGCTTTGACTCTTAATAAAATCAGTTAAATCTGGGGTGCCACTTGAGGAGGATCATCTTGCAGCTTTTTGGCGTAAGACAGAGTGAGATCTGGGTACGACATTAGTCAGTAAATAATGGAGGGTGCCATCAATATCTGGGGTATTTGGAGCTTGCAGAACCAATAAACCTGAGCCGGATAAGTTTTAGCAAGCGATACGGTATTTTAGAAGTCGAAGGAATATGGGACGAACTCTTGGACACGAAGGTAATGCGCTCTTCATCACTAAGCTCTTGTGACCTCGTAACTCAAAGTGGAAGCTAATTTTGTTCTATTCCTCCACGTCGGTTACATGTGTCGGAACGCTTTTAAGAACTTTTGCAGCATACTTGTAAAGCGGAAAGCGAGGCAACATATTTATTAGAATCTCATTACTGGTTATGCATTTTACATCAACGAAGCGTGGCAGACCATGCATTGGGAGCTCCAGCTCGAGATATTTACAGATGTAAGATTCGAGAAACTGGTTTTAAAAGGAACCTTTTGTCTTTATTGTTGTCCACTTGTGGCTTTAAAATAATCCAGGTGATTTCATCGTTGTGTGGGGATTGTGTCATATACTGGGTGACGAATCAATGATGAAATTTCCGTTATTGTCTCTGACTGTATTAAATAACGATAACAGCGCAGTAATGGCTTGTTTGCCAATTACGCATATATTCGCACTAAAAATAATCCCCAGGATTCCCCTGTGCGGCTTCACCACATTGCACAGCGCCACTAATGTGGCGCATTATTATTATGAATTTTCTCCTGATTCTTTTTTCCATTTTGAAAACCCAGCTGAGGTGCACTAGGTGGTGGGTAGAGTGAACATTGGCACTAGCCAGTTATGTTCATAAGAGATTTGTACCAGAAACACTTGCAGTGAAATTAACAAAATATGTTTGTTGTTTTATCACAGAGATTGTTGGAGTCAGATTTGTACCATGAAGACTAACAGGAACATTTGAACAATAGTCCATTTTACAGTTGTGTGCTTGGTTGCCAAGCCTTTGAACAGGAGTGAGGCTGAGGGTGACCTTGTTATGATACAAACCTTGCTGCTTTTGAAATGCAAATTAATTTGTTATCATGCTAACTAGATTCTGGTCTCTAACACAACAAGGTCACCTTCAGCCTCACTCCAAATCAAAGGCTTGGCAACTAAGTACACAACTGTAAAATGGCCTATTTTTGTTATTTTGTTTCAGAGATTGATTGAGTTAGTGTTGGGTTTTCAAAGGATTTTAAACCAAGGAGGGGAAAATTGTTCAGTATAATTTTCTCTTCCCTATTTAGTTGAAAAAAGTTGTTTGTGAGAATGGACAGGAAATTTAAACTTTTTAAGTTATCAGTGTGGCCTGGGGATTGATTGACATAATTGACATTTGGAGTTGCAAATAAAGTTCCTTGAAATTGAGGAGGAGTGCTTATATTATGAAAGAATCTTGTTTGGTTGTTTTGTTGTAGTTTTTCTGTGGAATTTTGTTATTGGAACTTGTGACCTTTTTGGATTTTCAAACAGAAAAAATGTGGAAAAACAGAAACCCTTTGCTTCAAATTCTTACTGCATTATTTGTGTAATTATTTATTTAGATTCAGTGTGTCACCATGTTATTTTCATTATGATACCTCTCACCTTTTAAATAATTTTGTTCTGTTTTGCTTTGTCTCCTCAGACCTGTTTTCAATATTTTAGTGGCTTTAAGCATGGAAAAATTAACCCTTTAACTCCCAAGATCTGATTGTTAATTCTCCCCTCTAGCTGCTACAAATTTCCTTGCGAACAAGTTACAAGAATTTGGTGTTAGATCAAATTTGAATATTCTCATTACTTGTTTGCTAGATAGTGCATGGATATTGTAGGGAGAAGTTACTTGCTAATCACTTCTGGGAGTTAAATTTTAACCAGGCAAAATACTCTACCCAACGCATTGTTTTACATGCTTGTGAGATCAAGAAAAACCACCAAAAATGTTAAAAAATACTAGAAAAACCTTCAACATTGGGGAGGTTTGGAACCCAGCATGTTGCCATTGTAGCACAATTTACAATCTTATCTTGTGGATAACCCACCAAATAGAGTCTTATTTCCAAGAATCAAACATTTCTGATGCAAATTGGTTGAGATATTTGCATTTATTTATTTGGTTGAGTGTATGACATCATCACGTAGCTTAAACAGTTTAGATTGGATAGTTGCAAATTTGATCATAGTGGCACTTTAAAAGTGTCTTTCCAAATTGCTTGCTCTTGTTCCATTCTTTGAATATTTATTCAACAGATGTAATTGTGGTGAAATGATAAAATAAAATACATGATAAATGCACCTCTTAAAAACCAGCATTTCATTTTAAACCTTGTATAAATATCCTTTATTATTTGAACAGGTAGCTAAAGATATCCCTTTCTGGACA